TATATTAGAAACAGAAATAAATACAATTTAAAGTTAGAATACTAATATTAAATATGAAAATACAGTATGACTTAAGTTACAATTCTTATTGCCTTTATGTACGTGGGACAGTTTGAATTTAGAACAAGAAAAGCTGTTTAAAATTTAAAATAAACCTTTGCTTAGTTTTAGCATTTAATTCAAAAATGTTCCTCACAAGTTTTCTCTTCCTGACCTTCATCTTTATAATTATACAAGAAATGTTTAGTTTAAAATTTATGAAAGATTAAGTAGGTACATTTTTCCGCTTTAATATAGATGATTTTTGCGAGAAGTTCTTAAGCTTGTTAAATAGGTAGAAAGGAAGTTTTACGGAGTCGCTTAATTTCTTTGTATTTCGCATGAAGTTAAAATGGAATTGTTCTTTAACTTTTTGATTAACATTCTTGTTAGCTTATATAAGGATAAAATATTCACAAGAATATTCTTTGTATTATAATCATTGCAGTTTTAACGATCAATTTAAAGCATTTCATGATTCGCCTACTTAGTGTAGATGTCGCCACCGTATAATTTAATATATTCATTTAAAATAATATTAGAAGCAATAACCCCTCAGACAGTAGAGGTTTTATAAGCAATTTTTGTGGAGGATAAGTGGGACCAGGAACGGCTAAAAGTTCCACATTAAGTAGCCAGCAGACCGTGCTCCGTGTTCCGCCGCGGCTACCGTGACCGCTCACCTCGCAAGGCTCTCTATGAGGACGAGTGTCGGGGTCTCGCAGGACTCATCCTTCTATTGAAAACCAAGTCCATGGTATCGGCATCTTATCTCAAAAAAAATTAATGAAACAAGGGTTAATGACCTCATAAAGGTCTTACCAAACAGTCCCGGGGCGATCATAGTTTTCATATACTATTAAAAATTGCCGGGGAACCCATGACACTGTACTTAACACTATGACTAATTTATATAATTTAACTTAAATTCTGCAAAAGTAATTCTAAATTCAAATTTAGATTGGCTTCGCAAATATTACAACTTTCGATTATTATCAAACAATTTGCCTTTCCAAATTGAAATCGAATATTAAAATGCGAACTACCAAATAAACAATAAAAAGTGATATAATGATCGTATATCAAATCAATACCAACTAGAATCTCAACCAGTCAGCAATAAAATTCAAAATACAAAAGCCTTGACGGTTTTACGGTCGATTTTCAATTGTGAAATTTCGTAGGAATAAAATAGGGCGTGAAATTGTTCGCGAATGGCTAGAATTTGTTTGTGAAAGCCCGTCGTATTGTAAAATTTAGATGTAATACGCTCCTACGTTACGGGACGGATAAAAATTGAATCCCATTTGTTTTAGTACACGACTGTACCTGTTGTTTTTGATGTTTTCCCACAGATAGAACCTTCGAGGAAAATTCCTTTGCTTAAGGAAATATTACATTCATATTTCGAATGGGTTGTTCTATATAGGACTAAACGTATCTAAATTTATTGTTTTAGTGTGGTTAAGTAGTTTTAAAGGCTTTCGCTGTGAATTCAAGTAACTATTAAGATTTCAAACTAATGCTAATCTTTTTCAGAATACTAAATCGTTTCTTATTTAAAATATGTCCATGTTATGTTTACGTTACGCAATGATACAAATTGTGGGTTGAATTCTAGTTTCCGATATTTTTGTGAAAACTAGGCCAGTAAAGAACTATCACTCTATAGCGTTATACTAGAAAACACTATGTAGCTTTTTCTTTATACATCAGCCTTCTGTGCCATAAATATATAATGAATAATGGAATCATAAAAATATACAAACTTCTTTCCTTTCTTAATAACCTACCCATTTCATTAATGATCATATGTCATTAAACACCTAAAAAATTCAAAATAAATGGTTTACATAAATTATTACACAAGTAGGTACTCCTGAAAGATGACCTTACGCCCTCACGTTAGTTTTTTAAACTTAGAACGAATTTAAATTCAACATGCGTTCGAATTCATTTAAAACGCTTCAAATATGTTCGAATAGACCATTCCTGTACGACACTACTTAGCCTTTAGAATACAGATGCACTTTGACAAATAACTGTACTTTATTTAGAACAAAGTTATACCCCACTTTACTATCGCTCGTTGTAAACGCTTATTGAATAAGCAAGTAGGGTTTTATTGAGCTTTGGTTATTTATTCTAACGATCCAATAAGAGTTATGCTTGACAATAAATAGGTTTTCAAGTATATTATGTATGCTGTAACGTTTTTATTGTTAAAAATGCACTTTTGAGGTATAAAAGTGGATTAAATTATCAAACATTTTACAATGCGTTACTTCTTCTTCGGTCAGTCGGAAAAGTATTAATTTTACATCAATAATGATATTTTAGACAGGTGTTTTTCAAATTTTACTTATAGGCGCTTGATAAAATTTATTGAATTTTTATTTTTTCAGCAAACCAATTTTGTTAGTATTTCTTTATTAAATAATTATAGACAGTAAAGCCTTCAAATCCTACGAACTTTATATATTGCCGTCGTTTCTGCTGAATTAGTTTTATCAAAAATCAAATAGATGCCACGTACTATGAATAATAAAATATTAATCTAACAATATGCAAATCATTATTCAATTGCTAGTATTATTACACATAATGCATGTAATGTCACTTTGATTGCGTTTATTAAATTTTATTCACGTTTAGCTACTAACAGTATTGCGATGTTAACGTAATATCAGAATATGTATTCAGCTCCAGTAAATACGCTTAAAGCTTTGTTTTGACGCGCGAATTTGAACTTCATCGCATTAGAATAAGGTTGACTTGCACGTGTTCACTTGTATGGAAAACTAACGAATTGTCGCACGTAGCTAGTGGCGCCGCATAGTGGTGGTTACTAACAACTGCATTGGAGTTCACATTCAAATGTGTATTATTATGCAATATTTTCTAACAATGGGATGTAATTCAAAGAAATAAATAGTTTCTTGAGTAATTTGTAGCTGCATTGACGTCAAATGTGACGTAGGTATATTGAATATCCATAAGCAAATGCAATTAATAAAATTGATTTTGATCAACTATACCAAGACTTTTGTTTTATATACATCTTTGTAACCACATTTTTATGGCACATCTGGAAATAAGACGAATCAAACATTTTTTGACCTTTATAATGGCAAATTCTATGGCCAGAGCTTTAGTGACTGATTAATATTTATTTATATAATATAAGATAGGCTGCTTAAAAAAAAGATTCGGTTTTGTAAGATTTATATTTGTATTTTTTCACTGTGAAGCCCTTTTAACCGGTTTATCGACAAAGATATCAATCATTCAAATAAAAGTTATTTAACAATTTAAAGAAGTATTATTTCTACATTATAAATGCTTCACATCAGTTGTTGTCAATCAATCATGTAAATAATGTTAAAACTCACGTTTATATCCGTCAAATACACGCGAAAACCAATGACAGTGGTATATTCAATAAGTATAAATTAATTTATCGCACTCAAAAACTACATCAACTAATTAAAAACGTCTATAGCGAGATCTCTAAGAAATAAAAAATCCTCAAGTGCGACATTATAATTCCGTAATCCCGTAATCCGACGCGACAGGCGTTAAATGACTCGTCCCATACTTTACTGAGTTATCAGTTGGCGTATCTTCGCCAACAATGGTACATGTAATGGGCAACATCTTAATAAGTTGAAGGCCCATGTCGACTCAGCATGACGTAGTACACACATGATTATTTTTCAAGGATGACACCTTTGAGTATGTTGCCCGAATGTGTTACAAACGCATTAATCAAAGTGCTTTATAATTATGTTGTTTTGTTTTAAGCTGTCTTTGAGTTCCGGAATGAAATACGTAGCTGCTGCACTATTTATTTTTCAATCCAAGCAGGTGATCAGCCAGCGCTAGTGGTATTTACCTATTCGTTACATATAACATAACTAAAAATATTGGTTAAGCTAACAGGTAATTACAAAAATAAAGTACCTACGTAGATAACAAAATACTTAATAGAATTCAGTCTAAGTTACAAAAAATATTATGAAAAGAATTAAAAAACGTGTGTGTCCTTATGTACACGCGTTAGAAGTTATACTTCTTTAGCGTAACAAGATAAAAATCTTTTCAAACATTTTAGTCTACCATGTATTTATTTAGAAAAATTCAAACAACAATTGTTGAACTCTGAAAGTCAGATTTACAGGCGATTCGTGGACGTTGGGTTTGACATAAGAAAATACTACTTGATTTTCCCTAAGTGCATTCATGTTAGGGATGCATCGATACGTCTTTTTGCCAATACGATACCGACGCCGATACTTTTATAGAAATATCGTCGATACCGATACCAACGCTTAGTGATTTAAAATTAAATTAAGGTAAAATATATCAAGTTTTTAAGTTTTATTAAAAAAATATAAACTTTGAATAAGATTAAAGGTTTAGTTAATTAAATTTAAGAATCAAAAGTAATAATTAAATTAAAATAAAATAAATAACTGTTAAGAATTAAAATTAACATTGATAAGATTTTTGTTTAAAAAACAGAGCATTCTCATGTTTTGGGGAGAAAGTCGATTACGCAAGTCTGTCTGTATAAGACCTGCAGTGCAAAATAATCTCACAGTTGCGAATAATCTCTCATTTAAAAGCCATATAATATGGATAGCAAAACATATTGCTTTGGAATTATCAAATGTGGAAGTTTAAAAATTTAAATAAAATTCGAAATTTGAAAGTATAGTTGAATCGGCAATTAAAATATCGCCGATACCGATATATCTGCAATACTTTTGGTTTGGGATCGGTATCGCATGCATCACTAATTCAAGTATTGCCATAGACCAAAATATCCCTCTTAAAGAAATCATAAATTAATTACTCTGTGGGATTATTACAGGGCAATGACTGCTAATAGACAATGTCAACGATAATTATATTTAAAAGCTAGATCACCTTTCAATAATCTCACGGCTCAGTGTACAATGACAGGTGTCCTAAAAGTTAAAGTAATCACACCGATGCCTCGAGTCAACCTTCGAGATGCTCGACTGAACAAAATAAAACAGGTAAGAGTTGTCAATGCCCACGCCTTAGGTACGGTAACCTGATATAAGGCGACGTATACGTTTAACACGAGGATCAACGGTCGGTTTGAGTGTACGGTGATAGGAGACGCGAGAGCGATTTTCGAAAATATATCATACATGCATTTTTGTACTATCACACAAAATTATCCCTTTTGGTGAATTTGCCTTTTAATCTAAACTTTTGATTAGGTGGTACTACTCTTCCAGAGATTGTTCATAATATCACTAATATTTAAATATTATTTTAAGTAATATTAGTAGCTTTCATTCGTAGCTTCAATACTTTTAATATTTCAGTCTTTTCTCAAATAACATTTTTGATTTTATCTCGTTCTTACAGATAGACGGCCCCGAATGACCTTCACTTTATTAACAACAGTTACGATATATATTATTAACAACAGTTGAAATGTTAATTATTAGAACTAGAGTGCTTTAATACAGCAGATAAATATTTTTTGTAGCTACGTCACATTAATATTTTTTAAATGGAAATTGTTCATGTAAAAAAAATGGAAATTGATCATGTAAAATACATGCAAGGTAAGCTTTTCCGATTTTGTAATACTAAATCTACCTCGAAATAGAAAATTTATCGTATTATTTGACGATTTAGTTCTAGATATTACAAGACGTCACGCACTGGTCTCGTGCCTGACAATACTAAGCTTACAGTTGGATAAAATATTGCCTGCAGTTTTCAACCTGATGATATTTCACAATGAATTTATAGAGACTTGTTCGGGCCGCGTGGATTATTTATTACGGTTGCTGAAATTTATGATTTTGCGACTGCTAATTATAGATATCGGACTTCGTTAAATGTTTAAAGTTACTGATAGTTTAAATGTGTGTATTAGAAAATATTGACTATTAAGGTATTATGAGAAACTATGATGATAAGAAAATGTTATAAAGGGGTGTTCATACACCTGTGCTCTTGCGATACCCCAGCCGTGTTAAACATCCGTCCACATCGGAGTATGAAGGCGATTGACTAATGGTCACTGTCTCCTTCGTAAATTGCTAATATCAATAGAACAGATTAGCCGTAACATAATCCGTTTAAAAAACTCTTACTTTGTATGGTTTGAAAATATTTCGTAATGATAAATATTCGTATTATGGTACCAGTTCTAGAATATGTAAAATTTTCTAACAAACAACTACTTATATTATATTGTTTGAAAGTCTCTCTCGTCACCATAAACATGCCCGAAGGATCCCATCCGCTCGCCCGTGTCATGAAAGAGGATACTATATCCGATTCATTGTTCTGTTACAAATTTGTCAGTGATCTTTAAAACTTTTTCTTTCAAAACTTGAAACGGGTTATAATCCCTTAAGTAAATCTTCGTCAGAAACGATCAGACCACACAAAAAAGTTTAGAAGTTGGGCGACTTAAATGGGACTTTTGTGGCAATGAATTTTTATCAGGTTATTTAGTGAGCATGTTTATCAAGTATTATTTTACAACTGAAATGTGACCTAGTGTTATAGAAAGAGATGTCCTCACGTACTATTAGGTTGTAGGATTAGTTTCAGCTCTCATGGCAGCCGACTAATGTTAATAAAATTGCCGATATAGCACTCGTTCTATGTTCTCCTCTTAAAAACATAAATCTAGATTTATACATTACGAAAATATTTTTGTCTTGTTTACCAACGCTACAGTCGCAACGGTAACTGAATAAAAAATAAAAAACGTGTGTGTACTTATGTACACGCGTTAGAAGTTATACTTCTTTGGCGTAACAAGTATATTTGTAGAAAAAACGACACTAACAATAGCAAAAACTAAAATGTTGACTATGGCTAACTTCAGGGTGTCGGTTTTTTGTGATGGTGTGCGCGCACATCGTAAAAATTGACTCTCATATTTTTTCCCTAACGCGCAAAAAGATGTATAACTTAAAAAAAAAATGTGGTGCATATCGCCTGGCTTTTAACGTCGAGTGAAGCCACATATGTAAGTTAGTATTTTGTTTGTAAGCATTACACATTGTATCATTTGATCGGCGGTTTCCCGTTTCCTTTTGTCTTCTAATATTGTGAACCTCAACCATTGTTATTGTTCAGGGAATGTAACGAAATCCACCTGAGTTAGTCCTTATTGTTTCATTTCTCTTTATTGGATTATGCAAATATTGATATCATTTATTCATGGGACTTTTCAACTTTTAATTACGACTTTGGTACCTGTATATGATCGTCATATTTTTTATTGCGTTCGTAATTAATCACTAAAAGGTAAACCTAATGTCCTAATATCAGAAAATTAGTGTAACAATTTAGCTAATATTCAGAAACTTATATACAAGAATACAAAATTAACTCAAAAAAATCGAACGTTTTAAAGCCGGTAGAAAAACAGTCTAGCGGTGTAAACGTGAAATCGAAACAAACATCGTACAGTGTATGAAGAACGGGTCATTAAATTTTTGAATATAAATATTTATCACCACTTTATATGCGAAAACACAAAAGGAAAATTGCGGAAAGTGTTAAATTATCTGATTTTATTGTAAGATAAAACTTCCTCGAAAAACGATCATAAAACCAATTATTTTGATATAGGAATTCGATATCGCTTGCAATTAATGTACAATCTCGTATCAATTTTGCTAATGATTTATCCCTCCAGTTTCTCCACTGCATTCAAAATATTAGGTACATGTAACGAGTGTTCTTTAAGTTTTTGTGTTAATAAAAGCAGTATTTTCGTTGTTTTTAAGTAATTTCTGAAAATGGTATAAATAAGTAACTAAAATATGGCAAGTACATAGCAGTTTCGTTGTTTGTTGCATTTAAATTCATGTTATATTATTTTTAAGTTTCTTTAAAATTGGACTTTGATGGATTGTGATTGGACAAACGTAACGATATACATACACATACTAGAATGTGGATCAATCAAAAACAATCGGAACGCGTAGTCTTTTCGTCTTTCGTTTTACATAGTGGTCAGTACCCTTGTGTCTTTTTATTACAGCGTAAGCAGACTTTAAGAGTATTGCCGACACTGAACGTTCAATGCATACTATTGCATGGTTGGGAATTAGTATTTTGTGCCTGACACACGTGGCTCTAAGGCTTGCCGGTTTCCTTAAGATATTTACCAAGCAAGTGATAACACATTAGAATTCATTTGTCCACTGCCGGGATCAAACACACGACCTCAGAAATCTCACACTTAACCACTACGCCAGCACTGCTCTTTCATATCTATGTATAGCAGTAATTTAAATTTTTATGCCATGTAAAATTAATTTTGCATAAGACCCGAGCTTCCTCCATTATTATTATTTTGCTCCTGTCACGCAAGGAGCGCCGGAGGGCACAACTTAATGTTGACTGATGCTCGCCTCACCGTAACCATCTTGGATAATTCGACTAATTTACGTAATTTAAGCAATTTCCATTCGAAGTGCATGTATGGGTCATTATAAATTTTTCATTTGCCCTAATTTTGAATGCCCGCGAGGGGTATATTGCGAACGCTACCGAATTCCTAAAACCGATTAGGATATTACAAAAGAATAGACTATATTCTTGAACATGCGAAATTTCTCATTATTTAGGAATGTAAGACATTTATAGCAGTGCAGAGCAGTGTTGGCCTAGTGGCTTCAGCATGCGACTTTCATCACTGAGATCGCAGGTTCGATCCCCGGCTATGCACCATTGGACTGTGAAGGAAAGCATCGAACAAAAAAGTCGACGGCGTGTGCGCGTCGTGGCAGGCACAGAGGGCTGGATCACCTACTTGCCTATTAGATTGACAAATGATCATGAAACAGATACAGAAATCTGAGACCCAGACCTAAAGAGCGAGGTTTATTTATTTTATTTAAGTTATTTATATATAAAGGCTACTCTGCCTCAGGGGAGATAGTAAGGAATTCATTTCGTTTTCATTTCTTTATTTTGTTTATCTAGTATTACTAGGATTACATAACAAATAATTTCACTAATAGCATTTTTTTGATTTCAACCATTTGAACCAAGAATTTCTTACATTACTTACATAATCATTGTGGTCAAATAATTCTAGAAGTTTTATTTAAAATAACATCAGAGTTTCTTTAGATTTCTTATTTCAATAAAATTGATTATTTTATTGCATAAGGCAAGCAAGAAATACTGCAATAAATACCTATAGCATCATGGTAGGATATTCTTCAAAATATCCGCAATTTGTTAAGCGTCGCGTGCAGGGTTTAATATGAATTAATGATATTTAGTGTGTTCGAGGTGACCATCGGAATGGACATCCATTACGCGATGTATCGGCACAATCGAGAACTCGCTACGAGTCACGCAGGGGCACAGGCGAGTGTTTATTGGAAAGGTTATAGGCAATTTAGATAATATATTAATTTTTATTGTATTTGCTGTATGTGTGACTGGCGATTTGGTTTTAGGTTCAACAGTAAAAAACATTGTTATGTTTTTATGAAGTTGAATATCCTTTAGAATCCTATGTAACCATTAAAACAGGCGAAATCCTATGGGTAGAAAGTTCTAGTATATATCTAACTATAGGCTTATAGAGTAAGTTCTAGTATTTGGTTCTCTCGAAGACAAATGATGTGTTCAATGTTTTAATTTAGATAGCAGGGTTAAAGTTTAGGTAAAAATACTCATTTATATTAATAGAATATTTACATAATGATAAATTCAATACGTAGGTACCTTACGGACATTTACGGCTACAAAATGTGGGCTGACTTACGTGAAGTGCGTCAGTAGCTGGTCTCTGGTCATTGTGATGTTTGATCGTAGGTGTACCACAAGGTTCTATACTGACCCTTAAAGTAAGAATAACTATATTAACAATAATTTATTTCAAAATCACAAATGTAAATTCGATTATTGTAGAAAACAAATCTCATAGTAACTCCGTATAGTTCTGAATGTTACTGGTGGCATTGGGTTTATTAATAATGCTATATTCTATACACAACTCGGTGAAGCA